TGTAAGCCATGGTCTGCGGTATGCAGCTAGAGTTTTTGAAGTTGATAGTCTTGATGTGGGTCACAGTTTCCAGATCAATCTTGTGAACTGCGGATTTCGACTTGTTAAAGATGAAGCCAAACCTGAAATAGAAAACACAACACTGAAGTCACCTCTGGAGGCTTGGTGATATGCTTGCAAAAAGATGAAAGTCAGCACAACTGGAAACCTCTGTCCTGTTGGTTTAGCGTGCGTAATAGTGCTGTCTCTTCTCTATAGGAAATCACTCTCAGTGCTTCTAAAAAGTGCTAAGAGGAGGTATATATTTCAGTTAAAATTAGCAAACTGAACCTGGCAGCTTGAATATGTGCTTGGGTATTTGAATAACATCTTCAAGATTGGAAGTCTTCTTGTATTAGGAAGACCAAGTTACAATAGAGTTGGTACCAAGGTTTGGGTTTGTGGTAGGCTAGCGTTGACCGAGGCTGTATTTGACCCATTTTAGTTCTAGAGAGATATAATTCAATACATACCCAAGACTTTTTCGATCTTGGATTAGAAAATTGTTCAAAATAAAGCATATCCAGGTCAGGTTTTAAGCGGGGAGGAGAGGAACTGTAAGTTGCACACACAACCACTGATTGAAGACCAACATGTCCAACCTCCTCTCCTAAAAGAGAGCCTCTGGGGGAAGCTCTGATGCACATTTGCTACCCATGGTGCCTAGGGGAGGGGGGGGGCGGTTATTGTTGCAGGGAACACAGCAGTATACAGCAGAACTTGCTTGGCCTTGCCCCACCGGCCCCAAAGGCTCCAGAGGAGCACGAGCAGCAGTGGTGCACTGAAGAAAAGGGGCCTTTGCTTTCTATCTCAAGAGAAGGCAGACAACAGTGAGCAGAGAATAAATGTTTGGGAAAAGGTATATGTGCAGCCCATTTGACCTTTGCTGAATGCACGAAAAGGTCAACAGTAGCCAAGAAATGTTTCTACTTAATTTGAAAGGGAGCCCATAGAAATAGCCTCTTTGTGTTCCCTAGAATTCACAGGTCAATGACACTGACTTCTGAAAACTAATTTCACGTTGAATATCTTCTCATCCATTCAATGCGGAGAGAAGGAAATGAAGTGAGTGTTTAGTTTTGCAACTCTTCCCTGAAAGATGTAAAATTGCTTTAAGAAATGTGGAGAACAATGTGCTTGCATGCAGATAATACATACATTTTACTTAAAACACTGGGTTTATTTCTTTATCCTTAATCCATCTGTCAATGAGACACTCAACAATGATTTCTCTTCTAAAGAATAAGCCAATGTAGTGTATGATCCCATGAAAATCACTGGGCTAAGCCTTTCATTTTCCCATTAGACTCACATCCACTAGAGACTTCACAAAATATCTGCAGTGGAGATTTGTAGCGCACTGTGTGTGGGGAAATTGGATATGACACTTGTATTTCTCTTGTATTTCTCCTGGATGAATGCATTTTAAGTACACTTTAAAAAATGCTTTCCCTTATAGCTCAAGCCTTCCTTAATACTTGGCCAAATGCCTGAACAAGTTAAAAAAAAAAAGGTTCTTATCATAAACTTTAATTTCAAAAAGGGGGTCAGGATGTGTATTACATGCACGCAGCTGTAGAAGAGGTGCAGTGCTTGCATGAAATCTGTGATCTGAAATCTCAATGAAAACCTCACACTTAGAGAGTTTTTAATAGACAACAATCTACCCTGGGAACTAATAAAAATGGATACGTTTCTAGATATCCATCTGAAATAACACACAGCTGAAATACATATGCAGGAACATTTGCATATAAATATTTTTTGTCTCTTGGAAGAGACTGCTTCAATATTCACCTGCTTCCTGTGAAACCAGGGAAATGTTGGTATCACCATTTATTGTTTCTGAGTGAAAACTTTAGAGCGTGATCTTGGTAAGTCTCATTAGACTGGGAGCAATTATTTTTCTATGCTGAGGGGGAGACAGAACTGACAAAGATCTGCCCCTGAATAAATGAAATAGGAAATTAGGCTTAGCATTTGCTATTTTGCACATGGAAAACGATGGACAATTATCTACATTTCATATTCCTCAAGAAAGATCACCTGTATACAGCCGATTAATCTCATTGAAGAAAAAGGTAATAAAACAACAACAAAAAAATTCAATCGCGCTACCTTCCTGTCTTTGCGCCCAGCTCATCCGTTCTCATCTCAGGGTTTAACATTCAGCACAGTCATCTACCACCTAGCATGACTATTACTCATAACAATATTTTGAAAGCTCACTGGAAAAATGAGGTAGGGAAAAATTAGGAATGACAGCCATGAAATGTGTCTCATTATTTTGTTTCAGGAAGCAAAGTTACTTATTTTGGATCAAATTCAGCTCATAATCATTTAAGCGTGACCCCTCGTCCTCAGTGTTCATTGCAGGGAACCTATGTTTAATGTAAGAAGGTCTGGACATGATTTTTGGAGTGTTAAGCTAACTTAGCTAAACTAAAGTATACTGGTGACAGAAGATGATTAAATGGTCGTTACGTTATAACTTAGTAAGAACGGTATAAATTGCTGTGTAGTTACCATCAATTTTGATAATGTTAACGGGAGGCTTCCCGTTCCTGCTGGGAAGCAGTCAGTATTATTCCGAGTTATTAGTGTGTTAGTTATACGATCTCATTAACTCCTGCATCACATTAGCATTCAAGAATGATGGTTCAAAGCGGTGGGATTGTTTTCAAGGCACGCACCATTTTTCTGCTCAAACCTTACCCCTCGCTCAGACACCCAATATCTGAACCAATAAATAGCAGGGAGCAGGTGGAAGAACCGCGCTCTACGCTTCAAACAGAACAAACTCTTACTACTACTTCAGGCAATAAACCTTTGATACAGGTTTCTGCCCAGATCCAAAAAGTGGTTTTTGAGGTAAGGAAGCCCAATTTCCGGCCCATTGAATTCCCACGTTTCTAATAACCCCTGCGGTGCTGGCCCCCGCTCGCCGCTGAGCAGACGCCGCTGGTCTCTCCAAGGAAGCCGCAGTCCCGTTTCACCCTTGCCGGGGCTGAACAACCCAGGACTCACCCTCTGGCCCCGACGCCCTGGGAGCTGCGGCTCCGCGGTACCCATTTCTCCATTTCAGGCGAGAAAACGGGGATAAGAGTACTTAGTTGGACCACACACCCGTTCATTAACATTTGTAAAGGGCTTCACGATTATTAGACAGAGGCCCTCTAGAAAAGCGCAATATGACCACTGCTGTTATTCATTAATATCATTTCTTACCTAACATGATTAATAATAAGATTTGTGGGTGGTATAAAAAAATCATCCACTCCTTCAAACGGTGTGCGGATAACATGCTGATCTTCCCCGGCACTTGCCTCTGGTATTACCTATAATAAATAAGCATAAGGTCAAGCACAGGAAAAGCAGTGAATAAGGTAGACAGGTAAATACAGATTACATAATCAGACATGATACAGAGTGATTTTTCCCAGGGATGGAGTGGACTTAAATTGATTAATGACTTCAAAATATTGTTTGCTGTAGCTGTCTTGAAAAAGGTGTGCTAATAAATACGATTTGAGGCTTGACATTTGTAAGGTAAGTACACAACTCTACTTTCATATGAGGGGGAAAGAGCAGTCATGCAGGAGTTGAAATAGTATGACAACATGAAAAGCACAATAATTTATTCCTCGCTGTCTAAAATAAACATTTATTTTGTGGTCATATTTATTAATCTCACTTAAGTGCACAGCAATAATTTACCAGCTTGAAGGATCAAACACTAACTCACAGCAGTTAATTATCACTTTGAAGGAGAAGGAATGTTCATCCATCTCCGGCACCATATAAAATTCACGGCAGAGCGGAAAAAGGCACTTTTGCTTTCTTCCCTCCGCGCTGGCCTTCAGCACAGTGCAAACCTCCGCTGCCATGGAAACCCAGCTCTGTTATCTCCTACACAACTCCAGAAAAAGGAGAGGTGGAATTTTTCAATAATTAAAATGTTAAATACTGAAATTGCTTGCTTGCTTCCAGCTGACTTTAGTCCATTCATTAGGATCTGTGAATGCAGCGTGCGACAGTAGCTGTTTCGGATTTATAGCGGCGTAATTCGTTGCAGGAAACGCTAAAACCCTACAAGGCTTTAGTTCAGAGAGACGTTCTGGTCACGCCGTTCAGATTTCTTCCAATTAAATCGCCCAAGAAAGATGCCCGTTCTCGCACAGTGCTTTCCTGAAGCCAGAGGCAGTGCTGTACATTTGCTTCCCGTAAGCTCCCAACAGCTAAACAGTGGCCTCCCATCAGGAGGCTGCGCGCGCTGCGTGATAAATCCCTGATTTCTAAAGAGCGGGTGGAAGTTCAGACCAACGTCCACAGCAGAATTTTTAGGAAAGATTTTTTTTTATTGCGTGCCTGCAACTAACAACGGCAGGTTTTAAGGAAGACCTCCATCAGACCGGGCACTGCACACCTTTTGGGGAAGAAGGCCAGAAAGGATGAAAGATGTGCTGATGCTGATGCTCATCGCACGCCCTACAGGTGTAACTGCACTTTACAAAGATAACAGAAAGGACCAGCGGAGAGCAGGAGCCTGGTAGCAAGTTTCCAGCTGGGCAGCTGGTGTGTTCTTCTCAATAATCACCTGCTTGTGCCATCTCTCTTTTAATTACAGAGACCTCTCACAGCTGCATGGGAGAAATTAAGTTGGAAATGGTAAAGAGAGCCTATTTTGTCTCCTTATACCCTGTATAGGAAACTGCGCTGGCCGCCGAGGAGACAAGCTGCCGATGCCACCTCCGAAGCTTTCGTCTGTTTGCCCTGGTCCTGTTGCCGGCAACTTTTCCCAAAAACGCCAATGCCGAGTTGCTGGCCCATTCTTTACCATTCTTAAATACTGCGCAGGTCGCAGCTGTGCGCTTGGACGCAGTCCGAGCGACCGGAGCTGCCTCCGGATCCGCACATTTTCAAGTCAGAAAGCCTGAGTCGTGCAGCAGAGCCGTCCTTCTTGTCTGCCTTCATGACTCCGTCGGGGAACGCTTTAATACTGGACTGGCAGCAAATCTTTATGGCAAATATTCACACATCTTATATGGGTCCAGAATAGCAGCAAATAGTAGAAAGTTACTAGCAGAGAAGGGTATTTCTGGATGGATCACATCAGGCCTGCTTTCAGCGGCGTCAATGACTTAGAGCAGCAGCAAAATGCCCCATTCGAGGCCTGAAGCAGGAGGCCAGCGTTTCTGTAGCGTCAACAGGAGCGAATCCTCCAGGGCAATGCAGAGCGGGAAGTTAATTTAGATGCCAAACCCACGCGTGCTGCTGTGCCCCAGAGAGCCCAATATCCTTGTCGGTCTAACCAGCATCATGTGTCGAGTAAGCCCAGGGAGTTCACTGGCACTGGCCCAGCATATGCCAGTGCTGCCCAACACAGAGCTTGTCCTTGAGGTTTTATTGCTGCTGCTTGTGCTTCTTTCATGTCCTTGGGAGCTTATTTTTTATATTTGGGAAAGGATGCAAAGCTGAACTTGCAGAATACTTTCAAATATTTCTCCCTTTTACTTTATAATACGTAATTTTCAGAAGCAGTGAACAAACTGCCTTCGTCTGCGCTCAAGTCTGCTTTTTCCTCTGAGAGGAAGAATTCTCCTGCGTGATCCTCTACGGGCAGCCAGAAAAGAGGATGAGTTAAATGGGTGGAGTTCAAGCAAAACACGTAGCAATCCACTGCATCAGCAGAAAACTGCACATCTCTGGCGTGAAACGTCGGCCAAGGCAAGTGCTCTCACCATACAGGAGAGCAGCTGCTCTTGCCCTGCACATATCAAGGGTGCCGGGCTAGCAATCCTGAAAGAGTTACAAAACTTGAGGCAGGGTGCAATGCATTCACCTTTTAACACTTCACTTTATGTACAATGCCACCAAACTCTTTGCACTGTGGGTCAGCATAACGTCTGAGAAGGGGACGCTGCAGCTCTGCAGTGAACGTACACTTACGCCTTATCTTACGCTTACCCCGAGTGCGTTTTTGGTGAGCCCGACTTGAATTGCCAATGAGACGCTACCTACAGGTCTAAAGAGGAAACCCATTTCTGTATAGAAAGTACGTTCTTTGCAAATTCGTGGTACCCTCTGCTTTTAGACCTCACTCAAGTTCATGCAGGCTGCACAAATGACTGTGCGCGTCACGCGCTCGCACTGCTCGCAGCCGGCTGCCGACCCTTGCTGTATGACTTTACGGCACTTGGCTCTATCATCAGCCTTAAAACAAAACAGACCATGGCAACAAAGCAGTCCTGCTGCCAGCCTGCGGCACAGTCATTGCTCAAAAACAAATTAAACAGCAGGAAAAATATACGAGGATGGATGGATGAGGGATGAATAAAACACACTAGATAGATAGGCAAATTAAAGAACAGCTTTATGTCCAGATCATTAAATGCTGTTAACTACTTTCAACCGACCTGCTACTAGTTTGCTACCTCTGATGCCAAGAAATAGAGGGTAAAATCCCAGGGTGCCTGAGGGACTCACCTGCAGTGCTGGCGAGGACTTCTGCATATCACCCCAGCTAAGCACCCAGACTTGATCGTGTGACTTGTCATAATGTAATTTGGTTGGTAATGGGTCAACATCCAAAGACTTTAAAAAAAAGAAAAAAAGTATTTACTCAGTGACCTGACTGTCCCTTATGAACACAACAAATATCAATTTAATGCAGTCATTCCTATGTATCACTATCACACCTGTTCTGTACAGCTTTGCACAATTAGCTTCAAATCCACTAGGGGATCAGCAGCAGCACCGGGAACAGGAAACCTAGCTGCTGGCCTCACTTTTCTGGCTAGACATCACTCCATTTTACTCTGTTACACATAGCCAGTAGATCAGGGGCCAATTTCTGCTTGAATTATACCTGCAGAAGTTCATTTTTCCTAACCGGCTTACGACGGAGGTCAGGCAGTGGCTCAGTAAGCGTAAGTCAGAAATTTGTTCTAGCGTTATTTTATCAAGATAGCTGCCAGATACATTCCCGAGACTACAGTGATCAGCCCGGAAAGGAGGTGTTTCTGACTGCGAGGTTACAAAACGGCAAATGACACAGTGCCACTTCACGGGTGAAAACAACCCAGGCCCAGCTTAGCAGTGATGTCAGCACATCTGCTGGGCAAAGAGCTACTTTCTTCCCCCAGATGAAAGTCTTTTGCCATCCCTGAATAAACAGTTCCCCTGGTAAGTACCTGTATGGCTTTCTGAGTCTGGACATCAATTATCATTACTCTGTTCTGCTTCGGCTGTGCCACATAAATATACTTGTCTCTGACATTGACCGCTGAAGCCCAGAGGCAGGACTGAGCGCCTTCACCTTCAACTCTGGGACACATCTCTTCCTGAGGAAAAAAAAAGAAAAGGAGAACAGGTCTAATTTTTGCAAGTCAGGGCTTGGAGGAGTAAGAAGTTTAGCCTTGAAAACCACAGAAAACATTCCATGGGGATTCCATTAAGATGAATTTTTTTTTTCTTTTTCTGTTTTTCCTGGAAAACACGAAATAATTATTTTGTTAGGTACCACACTGCAGCCTGGCTCTACCTGGTGACATAAAACAGCTGAATCTGCTGCAAACTTGCATCGAATTTAAATAACTCCAAAGTCTATGGACCTAGCTTTTGAAGTATGCCTTGGAACATGAAGACTTACAGTGCTGTTAGCATTTATTAGCAATAGAAATATTACTCCCTGCTGTGAAAAAACGGTGATTTACGTTAATGGAATTACAGCTTTATATTTTTCCTATGGCCCTGGCTCATTTTCAGCTCAGGAAAGCTTGCTCCAAGACTCTTGTGCCCTAGGAAAGAGCAGCAGAAAAAGGAAGGTCCTATAGTACATTACCGCAATGTAGAAACTTCCCTGTACAGAAGGAACTGCACACTTTGGACAAAATCCTACCCATGACTGCCTGATGCCAAATTTTGTGTCTGGTACTTCAGTCACTGAGTCCTGTGCAAACCAGGGATTAGCTTCAGCGGGAGCTTGCTGGTACCCTGGGGTTGAAGAGTCACCTGTGATTGCACCAAAAAGCCACTGCATGTTGGGTGCTCTCCACTGCTTTTCGTTCTGGCTAGCTGCTTTATGAGAAAGAGCGTTTCTGTGGGACTTGGGCTTGGCTATGGAAAGGAGGATAAAACAAAATGAACACATATATATTTCAGTGAGCACCACTGTTGGTTTTAAATCTTGTCAATGCAGCAGCTGGGTCACTTTAAATAATGGCATAACCTCCCTAAGGGGGATGCAATTACAGCGGCAGAGCTTATCTGGGGGCAATGCAAACCCTGTGTTTGTACTAGAGCGCTGATTACGGAGGAGGAGGTCATACCTGTGAGCAGCACACTTCTGCTGGCTCCCCAGCTTGGTGGAGACCAGGAGACCACCTCTGAGTGCTGAAGATACAAGATCCAACAGCTTGGCTCCGTTTTCCCTTCTGGCCCTCAAAGCTGGGCTGGGGACCTACTCTATTGCAACCTTGACCGTATTACAAAAGCCAGCTTTTTGCTTCCAGCAGGCCTGTTTCAGCAGCTGAGCATCCAAGAGCTGGCTCAGCTGCCGCGCTCCTGGTTGGCAGCGCACTGCAGCAGTGGCGAGAGCCACTCACTGCCTGCCATCTCGCAACACAGCATCTCCCAAAATCAGTGGGCGCAGGGAAAGGGCTCAGCCATGCCTGCTTGATCTTCTTCCGCGCCCCTTCATAGCAGACGGAGACACCTGGGTTGTAGAAAGCCACCCAACTCATTGGCTGATATCACCATTTACATGACAAATATTCAAGACGCTAAAAGGGAACAGGTTGGGGGGAAAAAATAAATTCTGCTTATACCAAAGGCAAAGGACCCTATGAAGTCTGTAGGAAACCCTTAGAGCTCTCTCTGAAAGGCAGCCAAGTAATGACAGCAAAAATCCCTTTTATGCTCGCCACTGTGCTGACATTATTTCTTTTCCGTGCCCTTTCTCCTTTGTTCTTTGCAAGCGCCTTCTCCAGAACCACCTCTTCGATATTTACGCCTCTTTGGAAACGAAACACAAGATGCCTGTCTCGGAGTAGTGACAGCGGCAATATGGTTTAATAATAAATCCATGCCAAGTACTAACCTTGGGGTGAGGACTGCAGTCTGGATTTCTAATAAGATATATTAAAATACTGCAGTGGGGAAAAATATTAACCACAAATTTATTGAGATTTAAAAAATATGGAATACAGAGTCACAAGGAGATCTTGACCCGTGATAGCCAGGCCTGATCCAGCCTGCAGGGCCCATGAGAGGGGCTGCTGGGGTGAGGTGCCTTTGAGCCCCTTTTTTCAGAAGGGAGACACATTTTCAGGTTCTCCAGTAAGCTGAGCCACTTCTTCAAAAAATTAAATAAAAGCGTGACCAATGAAGTATTGCTGGATTAATTTCCACACTTGTATTTTATGAGATTTTATAATTTCACGGGCGTACCCATGACGTGTGGTACCATGCGAGAGTACACGATGTAGGTCACTGAAAACATCAGCCACACAGGGCCTCAAGGCATGTTTTACCCCACTACAGCACTCGCCACGTTGTGCTCCACTATATACACATCAGTGCTTGAAGTTCACTGACAGCAGAACAAATTTTTCTCATGACTCCCCCTACAGCAAGTCTCAGGTAAGCTCAGCGGTGGCAGAAAATGCCAGACGGCAAGCAAGGACAGCTCGGGTCTCCCAGTCAGTAGCTGAATACACAAAGAACATCTCGCAGGGCATCTTCAGCCCACCCTTTTTCTCTTCCTTGCTCCAGCCCCCTGTTTAGCTGTGGTTTAAGCTGGGAAAGCCTTTCAAAAGATCAGAAGGCAGTCCACTCTTACCTAAGAAGCCATCAGCAAAAGGGGCCAGTTAGCACCAGTGAGTGATGTGTGCACGCATTTACTATCGACTACTGAACCTTCTGAACAGCCCAGTTAAAACTTCTGGGCATGAGTATGTGAATAATTCACACAAGACAAGTGAAAATCTTTGCATGCTTTTTGACACGGTAGCTGCAGTCAAATTCCCCATAGCATGTTACTAATCATCCACGTCAGGATTGTAACATAGGTGGTTCTCTTAATTTTCAAGAAGAGGACCCTCAGCAATGCAACATGAAGTCCGCCAAGCGCCAGCAACTGCATCAAATAGTCTCTCTGACAGTAAGAACCTCTGAAGGGATTAGGACAAAGTCTCCCAGCGCTTGGCAGTATCTGCTGGGTACAGACTACCGGGTAGTTGTCTTCCAGCTGAGAAGAGCTGGACCTGGCAGCACTCTCACCTCACTGGCATCAACAGCCGTGAGAGCTGGAGACTAAGCTCAGCCTAAAAATCCAGCAACGCCAGACCTCCACGGTCAGGTCACCGTGCAGCTAGGAAAATCCCACTGCTCCTGGCCTCCTCGTGACCAGGGTACATGATAACCTCCTTGCCTGCCTGCAATGACAACCCAGGGCCGGCAAAGCAAGGTTGAGTCTTTCTCCGTTTCTGCATTTGCACCTTCGGAGTAGCCACAAGCTCTTCTCTCCACTGGACGCATTCTTTAGAGAAACGTTCCTCCTTATGGTTTTTGCAGTACCACCTTTACAAGGACAAGCCGACTAATGACATAAACGCTGCATTGCACAGGACTTACGTAACTTGTGAAAATCCTCTCATCCGGCCTGACGTGCCTTCGGATTTCACATTCGTTCGGCTGCAGGACTGTGATCCCATCGTCAGAAAAGACATAGAACATGTTCCCAACACTAAGGCCTTGAAGTGGGGGGAAAAAAGGCAAAAAGAGTAGGATTTTTTGTATGCATCCTTAACTGTTTGGGCTTCTTTAAGAACAATCGCCCCTCCACCCGCAACAAACAAAATCTGCCTTACAAAGAAGTTGGGCTTTTGGATGCAGTCAGTGCATTCACAAAATCAAATTTCATGTCACAACGAGGGCTTCAAGGAGTGAAGAGGTACAGACAGATTCAAAAATGCATTGCCTTGGTGGCGGCAGCTGTATGCAACTAAATGCCTTCTGGTCTTGCACGTGTGAACCATGTCAGTATGTGAATAAAATAAGCCCCTGTATGACACTTTAACCTCCTCAGTTTATGACTTTGGTTTTTTTATGAGTTCATTAAGAATAGTTATCTAATCATTTGAAAACTGAGAGATAGACTTTAGCTAAAATTAATCTGAAAGTTGTTCCATTACAATTAATTCGACTTTTTTGAAACTGGAAGTAATGAAGTAAAATATGTTTAACATTTATTCCATTAATGAAAATGTATCTATTTCCTAAACCATCAGATGAACTAAATGAAGCCACCAAAACAAATACATTTTTGAAATTTTGCAAACTGTAATTCACAAATGTGGAGTATTTCAGCATTGCAATAGCACTCATTGATCCAACTGGGGCATTCCAGGAGATTTGCAAAACTGGCTGTCACTGCTGTGCTGTTAGCAGATCACATTTTCTCATTTCTGTCACGCAGAAATGCCTTAAAACACTGAGAATTTAGCTCTTCTTCAGCTACATGCAAATGTGGTAATGGAGTATCTTTAAGAAATGGTCAGGATCTTTTCAAACACTCCAGTTAGAAAGATCCAAGCATTATTTAATTTTTTCTACATTATACCACCAATGAATGTTTGCAAGGACCACTGTCACCCCAGGTAATGTGGATCGCGTACTTATCTGCCAGCGTTCCATGGTGAGGTGCTAATTGGTCATTAGTAACCTTTTGCCCATGGAAAAATACGTTCCCAGTTCTAAAGGTATGAACAATGTTCAGCGTTATGATCCCTTAGGCTGGTCCTGTCGTGACAGCTCTACAGACCGCTCGAGGCCGTAGAGTTTCCACAGGTGTTAAGTGTTTGCAGGATTAAGGCCTAAATCACCATAGGAAAGCTTTACAGTAAAAGCACGTACAATTTGATAAACGCATTTCTAGAAAATTTCATAAAATACGTAGTTTAGTAAGGGATGTTTGCCTAGGGTTTTTTTTTTTTTTGGACTAAAAAAAACCCTTTTCTTATGCCAAATAAGTGGCTTCTGAGTACAGCTTGTCAGCATGAGATATTTGTTGCGCTGACAATGTTTAAGTTGAGTCTCTCTCTAAACCATAGCACAGAAATACCCCAGTTGGGGCATCAGGCGGATAAAGGAGCTGTGATCCTTGAATGTGATGCCACGGTGAGGGATCATGCAGGTAGAAAAATCTACTGAACTCCCACTGAGAACTACGCTACCTTTTGCTGACTAAGGGCTAACTTTTTACGAATATTTTGTTAAAACATTTCGTTTGGGTAGCAGGGACCAAAATCCACGCTCACAGCATACACTCAGCTCCCACCTATTTCAATGGGAGCTGAGTGCAGGTATCAGAGGGCAGAATTGGTCCCTATCTGGAATGAGTGCACATATTTTCAGGAGTAACAAGTTTTTTAATCTTAAGCAGTGGAAACAGGCAGGCAATAAATTCTGATAGCTGTGAAGATGCTCATCAATATTTTCATGCACAATAGTGGTATAATTTTACCTGATGATCTGATTACAATATAAGCACGTATTTCAGAATTTAGTTGTCCTTGGCCTTAATTAATCACAAAAACACTTTGATAATGATTTCACCTCAGTAGATTTACAGTTAGTGACTTGGCAAGTAAAATGAGAGCAACTTCCATTGCTGACGGATTAAAATAAGGTAGGAATTCCTAACAGCATTCAGGTACTGAAGATCCTCTCTTTTCAGAGTTCACCAAATTAACTAAAAACGCTCTTGCACACAGTCTGCGCCAGACCTTGACTGGGGTACGCATACAAACAGCCCCGCGGAGATGGGTAGCAGAAACTCCACTCTTGACTACACTGCTGCAGCTCCTCAGTCCGGGGAGGTGGGCAACTGAGACTTCTGCTCAACCGTACTACTGATACTAGTGCGGCAGGGTCGAGATAGAGAACTAACGGGCAGGGTTTTTCTTTTTTCCCCTGCCTTTGTAATTAGGGACACTCCAGAATGGACGGCACAACTATTTCAGAATCAAAAGGCTTTATAAAAGGCAACATACCTCATCAAACAGCTGTATAACAAAAAAACTAATGCATGGGGAGGGTCTTCTAAACATAAGAGCTCTTATTTTAACTGTTCCAGAAGATGCTTGGCTCCAGGTTTTTTTTTTTTTTTAATCAACAGAAGAAATAAAGCAAAGACACTCGGTGGATTAAGGCTGAAGTCCACGTGGACAGAGGATGACAAGAGTTTGTTTGAGAAATATGTACATCTGTATTTCTCACCTTCAAGATCAAAGGGCCAATATGTCACTTGTGGCGTACTGTCCTACTTGAATAATTTTCCTCAGTTTAATCAAAATGCTTGGAAGTATTTTAGCACCTAAATTTGGTAACAGAAGGGCTTTCAGTTTTTTAAATGCACGCATTTATGTAATTGGTGATTGCCTGTTGGCATGATGTGCTCCCTTTATCCAGGAATAAAGCAAGCCACGCTGCCTGTGAAAATGAACACTGGCGTGAAAATAAATCTCTACGTTACATTTGGGCTACACATGGTTTTCTCTGCACATAATGCATATGCATAAGAACTAGTTTGCACGCTGAGCAGATATTGCCTGTGCTTCCAGGTCAACGTTTAACCGGCTGCTCACACTATGTGCACTCATTGCTTGAGGTTTTAGTTGTGCGTGTCCTGTGAAAAGTTCTGACATCAGACTGATAGACTGATTTTTAAAATGACCAACTACTTGTGTTAAAAATTGGACTTGCAGCAAAAACAGTGTTTTAATTTACAGCTACTATTTTACTAATGTACATTTTACTAATAGCTGCAGTTACTACAAACCTTGTAGGCATGAGGATGTGATCATTTTAAAGGAGCTCAAGTCTACCAATCCATTTGTTAATATTTTTACTGATACAGTTTTCATTTTAACGGAATTGGAAAATACATTAAAATGTAAAAACAAAAATACCATCCCTCTCTCCCAGCTCTTTCTGTGTCAAGCTTTCACATGCTAAAGCATTTGTTCAGTGGGCTGTCTTGAATGAATGTGCTGATCAAATAGTATGTAACAATGCAGAGAGGAAAATAATCTTGCTCTAAAGATGCTGACTTGTTTTAGGAACATCAGTAGTGAATCTGCTTTTCCTGCCCGTTTCCCTGTTAATTGACCATACTTTTATTTACAACGTGCAAGGTCGCTAAACAGTAATTCCATACTGTTTACTAGACCTATAATAAGACTTTCTGCAACTAACTTAGTTGTTCTTTACATACTGTTATACTTCTACGTCCGGCAGGGCTATCCAACTACTTTCTTTAAAAAGGAGCATGAGCGACGTGGCGCACCAGCAGCCACGCAGCGCCGTGCCGATGACGCTGGGCTGATTCAATGCACTAGCGATTTCAGCTCTAAGCAGAAGGGAAATAGCAGTCCGTGCCCATAACGCCGTCGACACGAACATCAGCAGTAAGGAGACGCTCCTCGCTGCTCCGGGGCGGGCACCCGCGGCAGGCTCTCCCTTCGGGGACCGGGACGCCCTGCTTACGCCGAGGTCGAGACCTTCTCCAAGAGCAGGACACCGAGGTCCAGGCTGCCCCGTATGCAAACCGCAGATTTAAAACTGTGCTTCAGGCCAAGAACTTTCTTTCCGGCGAGCTGCCTGCACTTTTAACAGCCCCAAAGTGCCCCAAAGGAGGTTGCATTTGCCCACCGTGCTCGCACAGGCAGGGGCAGGCGGCTGGGGCGCAGCCTCTGCCGCGCGGCCTCGCTGCGTGCTTGCCACACGGTTACAGCACAAGCACACGCCAAATCAAATCAGTTCTGACTTCAAGTGCCTCGATAATGCATTTGAGTCAATTAGCTGTTTAGGATGCTTTTTCTCTAAATTAGCTTCCAAGACGCATAGATGTTGACCTTGCGCAGGGCACGCTATAAATTTGATCAAACTAGAGATCTTAACTGCCAATTAAAACAAGGAGAAATGGGGCAACCTTTACCCTGCATTGATTTAAAGCACAGAAGGAAGCAAAACCTGTTTCTTCCCTCTTTTATTTTTTTTGCCTAACAGACGTGAACACAATTTTTGTTTTTACCTAGTAAACATCAATACGTGCACTGAGGAGGAAAAGCTTGAATTGCTTGCCTAAAAATGCAAGCATATTGAATTTATGCCTTACTTTGTTCAGTTATGGTAATTTGGGAGCACTTTTGACACTTGCACAATTATTAACACTTCTTGAGAATCTCAGGCTACTTGCTTTGGCGGCAGCTTATATAAAAGTCACATTTTAATATATTTTATGGTAGTCTATTACAGTGGAAAACTGTACGAAGTTATCTGCAGGACTTATCACTGGCGTGACATTTCTTATTTAAATAGTTCAGCTTTTAAGTTGCTGGTCTGTACTTAATCTGATAACTGAAAGTTGATAGAGTTAGTGGCAATCAGTGGAGAATGGCCCATTATGGAATTATTAAAGCAGACAAGCACATTATCACTACAACAAAAGAACTTTACTGCAGTACCTTCCTCTCGCCACAGTATGTTTGCAACTGCAGCATCAGAAAATTGGGGAAGCCAGAAAATAATCAGGAAAAGGAAAAAACAAAACAAAACAAAACAAAGTCAAAATTTTCATTGTAGCAAGTAACTGAATTAATACTCATGTTTAAATGAACTAAGTTGTGAAATCTCTGTAACATTCATCCAGATAAAGTAAAATATCAGGAAAAAGAGTTATTTTTAAATACAAACGTCCCTTTTGGAGACAATGCTGGAATTATGACATGGGGAAAACTCTCATTGAGATGGAGATGCTTTTAGCCTGTGGCCCAGACACAGGATCAAAGCTTTGCGAAACAGAAGCAGCTATCTCCCGATGTAGTTGCAGGTTGGGTCCAGGCCCTGGTTTTCTGCACAATTCCCATAAGCAAACGTGAGATCTGCCAGGAGCCGAGGCCTGGCCGTTACACCAGCTACACCCACTGAGGCATTTCTTCTTGGCATTTCATGAAAACAACTACGTTTTCTTGTAGGATTCAAATATTGTTTGAAAGTACATCTGTATTTGAATTTGTTTAAGACACATCCAATTATTTCCCAACCCTCATAATTTTTCTTGCGCAAGTACTTGAGGGAAACCGACTGATCCTAACAAGGGTACCCGGATCTCTTTAACGAAGAAAAGAATACATTTTCCAAAGAATTGCCAAGAGAGCGCATGTTTCTTGGCTAACTTCTTTTTCAGTACGTGTTCTTCGTTAGCGCTCGGACAAGTAGCAAAAATCCCATTAGCACCCAGCCCGTTAATCTCACCAGGCTCAGGGGCAACCCCCGAGAAGCTGCAAAGCCAGCAGGAGCGGGCAGGGAGCGAGTCCAGAGCGGCAGCTAATCGTCGTTGCCAACACTTGCTGTCCCCAAGCCAGCGGGGACAGCGCCGCGAAGGCAACGCTGCCACGCGCCTGCTGCGGCTCCGCAGCTCCGAATGGATGGGATGATACTTGTCTTTGAAGAGGAAGATAATTTCACACAGAGGAGACACCTATTTGGCTATTCAGTGATGAAAATACAGGCAAAATAAGTAATTCAATCTGAGCGTTTTTCGGGCATCTAAATATTTGCGAGCTTTGATTCTTAACTGCCTTTAGAAAGGAAGTTTTGTACAGAAATCAATGAAATTTATTTTCTGAAATGTGTCATTGGACAAAATATTAGAGTTTGGGCCCTTTGATAGCTAAAAATATTACCAAGTTATTACTTCAGTAAAGATATTACTCATATCATACCCCAGCACCCTTCTGGCACATAAAAGGCACCATTGCAGCTTTTATCTTCCCCACGTGATACCTTCTCAAAGCACAATCCAATCCTCTGATCAATACACAGACAAAGCTGTCATTACCTTATGAGTAAGAGTCCCACATACCGCATGCAATGGACTGAACTACAAAATTGCACGTATGTCATTAAAGATGTATTAAAGATTCAAATATGTGGAAAATCAGGCTTACGGGTCTTTCTTGCAGAGTCTTCTATGAAAAGTGAAGATATGTCCTCATCCACTCCAACCTCGTTTTTAGCAATGCAGGTATAGGCACCAGTGTCTTCATATCGAACACTACTGATATGAAGTTCGCTTCCATTTGCTGTAAGAAAGACATCCATAAACAGTGTTCCTCACGGCTGCGAATTGCTTTACATTGCCTTAGCCGCTGGAAGACAGCTTGACGTTCATCTCACAACATCTCCCAATGCACATATATAGGCGTTTAGGGAATTCTTACAACAGCTGATGAGTTGCTGTTTTGCTTCTTTGCATTAGCACATACAGACTCCGTGCCACAAATTAACACAGAAAAATCCCACATGCAAACAGTAAACTACGTTGCATTTATTTCTTCTTGTTACAAAAAAATACTTTGGCTTTAGTGGAGAAAAAAATAATCATATCAATGTCGCAAACAGTTTTTCATCAGGCCAACAAAAACGCCGGTCTGTGAAAGGTCTCCAGAGAGTTGCTCCTATCATTTGTTTTCTGAAATGGGACTACTGTCCAAAATCATTGCAAGATTTTGAGACGCCTGACCCAGTCATACAGGGATTGCCGATACTGGGTGAGGGCTGCAATGCAGCGCTGCAAGATCTCGGGGCGGGGAGGGTATTTTTACACACAAAATTGCAATTCAATACTGTTGCCTATTACCGTGTCTATCGCATTTAGTGTTTCTATGCTTAGATCTTCAGATCTCAACAGTGAGGACCAACATTAGTAAAGAGACAAATTTCCCTGCAGAGGTGGGTGTGAAAAGCCACCCAAATCACAGTCTGGTTCCCAGTGGCCTTGCATCTTGCGCAGCCCTTTGCACCTGAACCAATGAGTGCAATG